AACAGTCTTGGTCATGTCAGAAACAATGTGATGTTGACCTGTCTTGAGTGTAATAGACGTAACGGTGCTAGTTAAGACCATGTGGCGGTAATTGAGTATCGTCCGGAATGACTTGTAGTTGTTCGCGTGTAAAACCACACTGAGGTGCAGTTGAATCCAATCTGTAGATTGGAGGTCTACCAGTTGATCGCGTTATGGTTGAAATTTTATGCGTAGTAACACTCCATATAGGATCAGTAGCTCTTCTTTTACCACCTTCAAGTTCTCCTGGTTCGTATAAATATCTCACAGTAACATCACCGAGAAGTGGCTGAGTACTAACCTGCTGTGGTTGTTCGGGAATATATTTTTTTTTTATTGCAATATTTGGTTTCATATTAATAGTTCGAGTAATCTCGTTATTTAATGCTGCAACTACACTCGGTAACCTTTGGACCCATTCACGAGATCGTTTTTCTTGGATGAATTCTTTTGCATATTGATATCCAAATAACCGTTCTGCAAGAGTTCGATTAAATCGTTCTACAATTGCCTGATCACGATGTAACGCAGTATGTCCCCGTCGTATTGTAACATTATGAGTTTTCATTGTTGATAGAACAGCACCTTGAAACTCTTTGCCAGGATCAACTTGTAATAGATTAGGCCATTTTAGAGGACCTCGTCGATAAATCCTTTCAAATGCAGAAACAACTTCAGAAGCTGACTTTGTTTTCAATGGTTCTGCTTGTTTAAATTGACTCGCAATATCAACTACAGTTAGCGCATATTTGTAACCATGGTCATGTGGTAAAAACAATAAATCAGCCTGATGAACTTCATTAGGTACGGTAACATCAAAATGAGAATAATTAATTTGTTTAGGCGGTGGTAGATAAATTTGCCATATAGCTTGTTTGGATAACCAATCTTTTGCAGTGGATTTTTTCACTTTTGCAGCGTTAGCAAGTTTACTAATTGCTGCTTTACCCCTCCAGTATCCTTTCGGAGAATAATAGATTCCATACTATAAAAACACTGGTGTTTTTAATTACCAGCACCTAACACCAATTTGCCTTTCATAGCTGATTTGACCAACCATGAAGCCAATTTTTCTTTGAAGGATTTATCGGGAATAGCATTTAACGCATGAATTAATTTTACATCCGCAAGATGTCTTTGTTGCAAATTATTGCTTTTATATGCAACATCATGAGCATGACATGCCTTATCAATAGCATTTATCGGATACTCACCAGGCCGGGGCTGATTTTGATCATCAAGTCTGATATCTAATCTCGTTCCGGGACCACAGTAGCTATATCCTGGAAGATGTTTTTCTCCGGGGTATTTTGCCCATGGGGTTCCGGGGAGTTTTCCAAGTTTTGCGGCAATATCACCTCCGAGTTGCTTTTTTTTAAAAATCGAAATTTTTTTTGTACCACATGTTACACACTTACCAGTAAGCGCTAGTCTATTGTTTTTAGTTGTAATGGTTGTCTGATCGGTTGTATCAGTACGCTTTTTACATTTAACACAATATAGATCCATAATTTATATATAGAGTTATGAATATAATTGACTTTTCAGCGACTAAAAAAAGAGAACCAGTAAAACACCACGCAGCGCTTCCGAATTCTGTCCGTGCCATTATAATCGGACCATCTGGATCGGGTAAAACACAATTGCTGCTTAATTTGATAATGCGATTTATAAAGTGGGATAAATTATATTTAGTTGCCCCATCCGTAGATGATCAACGATGCTATAAAGTGCTAAAAGATTATAATGAAAATGCATCAGAAATTAAAGGTGAAAGTGTAATCGACTTTATTATTGATATTAATGATGCACCATCAATAGAAGATCTCGATGGAGACATAAATAATCTTGTAGTGTACGATGATGTAATGTTAGATAGTCAAAAGAACCCTGCTAGAATATTTTCACGAGGTAGGCATAAAAACACTGACGTGATATATGTCACTCAACGCTACACTCAAATTCCAAAAGTGATTCACGATAACTGTAATATTCTTGCTGTATTCAATGGTGTTGATAGACATACGCTACAAAATATTTGGCAGACATGGTGTTCCGATATGGACTTCAATGAATTTAGAAATTACTTTAGTCATGCTCAGTCTGTCCCATATGGATTTATAACAATAAATTTACACGACCCTCGGTCACGATATCGTATTGGACTTGATCAAATATTCGGTTAAATAATTTGTATTAATCAGCAGCAGGGGGGGTGAGATGACAACATATTTGCGACGTAGATGGCAGCAATTTTGAGGGTGGTTATGACAATGTATTTACGACAAAATCGCTAAGGCTCCATTTGTAAAATGGAGTCTTTATTTTTTTTTGGTTAAAATATGAGATTTCGTAGGAAGGCTCCATTTGGCATTCTGAGGCTTTAATCGATTTCGTCGCAAAAATTTGTAGGGTTCACCCCCCCTGCTGCTGTTTTTATCTGGCCATACACCAAAAGCAATCCATTTCAAATAGTGCCAAACAGTCTAATAGCAAAATATAAATTTTTTCATGAATGAACAAATATACAAATTTTCAGAAGCCACGCCATAATCATGTTATATCCAAAGTTTGTGTTATAACAAAATATGGTATAACTGGGTTTCACTGTAACAACAAAGGTTTTCAAGATGGTCACTGTGGTGACCATACTGGAAATCTGCCCCTCCCCCCTCTTGTCATTTAGGATCAACTAGATATCATAAGGTCTTGTAGTGAAAGCCTATGTTGATTTGACCATCCATTTTGAAGGAGTAATGATTGAAGATTTCCAAATGGCCATTGTGATGGCTATACTGGATGTCCAAGTGGCACCATTTTAATTTAGGACCAACCAGATCATGTGATGAAAATGTGTCCACAGTTTCATGACCATCATCCAAGCAGTGACAATAAATTTCTCATAAGTTCTCCTAGACTGATGAGCAGCATTAAAACTCCTTTAAATGTCATGAAAATCTTGGGTTTGGTGCAATGTGCTAATAAGCAAATCAAAGTGGATATAATGGCAGATAAACACACAAATCGGTGTCATACCACTGATACTGCACTTTCAGAACAGAAAAGTTACTCCAAGTCATCTGTGTGCATTGATTTAAAATGTCCAGATAATTTACTTTTACCATAAATTAATATCACAGGTCTGCAAAAATTGTGAAAATGCTGTTGGAGATTTGATCTGTCTGTAAATTCTACAGACCCAACACCACTACCATTATCATCTTGTCTTTTAAAATTAACCTTAATATATATCCACATTTTGTCTGTAATTCAAGTTTCTAAGTCATTACATTGTAGTTGCTGTGGAATTACGTATGGTTAAAATTAGATTCAATCCTTTTCTTCAGATGTGGTCAGAAATGAAAATGTTATCTTCAATCAATCAGATGTACATGGGCCAAATGATACTGTACATATTCAATCAATCTGATGTATACAGGCATACTGACACTGTACAGCTTCAATCAATCATCTACACAATGGCTAACTGACACTGTACATATTCAATCAATCTGATGTACATAGGCATGCCGTATTTTCCTGCATATATCCCACAGACGCAGATAATTTGCACCCTCATATAGCCCACAGATTTTGGGGTTTTGTGTAAAAAATCATATAATCAGCAACCATAGATTGATGAAAGTTTTTGTGTATGTTCACATTGTCTATCATTACTGTTTTTAGAAGGACAGAATTTGTCAATGCTCATACATGGATGACAAAAGATACTATAACTACAACATTTTCACTCACCCGCCCAACATGCAAATTTGTATTTACGCTATCAAGTCAGTCAGCCCCGGTCCATATTCATCCCTCTGCATTAGTTCAAATTAGTCACCCGACCTCCACTATATTCCGGCTGGCAGGCGGCAAATTTGAATTTTGAAGCCAGGTACAATTGTTAGCCGGATATGCAATGGTGTGAGGTCCTGAGGCAGAAAGCCACAATTGTCAATTTTGAATGTATCTTGCATGACGTCAATTAATTATTCAGGCTCGGTACACAGTGCTTGTGCACATAGGCTGTCTATAGGAGCTGTGCCTCAACTACAGGCTATATAATACATTTCTAAATATTTTTGTATTTTTGTAAAGTGTAGATTCGAGTTTAAATAATATCTTTCTGTTAAATTTAAAAAATGCTGAAATGAAATTCTTACACAGCCGACTTCAAGCTAAATGCCATTGCATATGCTGAAGTGCATGGCAATAGAGCCACAGGCAAAAAATTTGATATTGATGAGAGTGTAATCCTAGGTTGGAGAAATGAAAAAGGAGCATTGGAGAAGATGAATCCACGAAAACGTGCTCATCATGGACCTAAAGCAGAATGGCCTCACCTTGAACTGACATGAAGGATTGTGGCCCAGCAGGAAAACAATTGACTAATCTCAACAGCTGCCATCAAACTGAAGGCCAAACTCATGGCGGCAGAGAAGCACATTGATGATTTCAAAGGAGGAGTGCATTGGGTATATAAATTTATGAAGAGGAACCAATTGTCAATAAGAACACGAACAACCATTGGCCAATGTCTACCAGAGAATTGGGAAAAGATGATGGATGATTTTCGTGAATTTGTCGCCAGGGAAATTCAGAAACTTGACATTCCCCATTTCTGCCATTACTAATTTGGATGAAATACTGATGTGTTTTGACATTCCAGCAAACATTATGTTCAGCTGAAAGGTTTGTAAATTACACCTAGACCTTATTTACCACTTGTACAGTTGCACAAACTTCAGTTCCAAAGTCAATGCAGCTCAATAGGGTTGTTGCTCTCAATTTCACATAATCCATGGAATTTTTTCCATTTCACTTGATGAAGGCAATTACAAGGATTTGATTATATGTCCAATAATGTAATTGTGTTCTATCCTGCTATTATTCACAAGAATCGGAATATTACTTTTTATTCTCCTATATTGATTATTAGCACTTTCCACAAGGCTTAGTTTCCTTTTTTTTTGAACCACTCCAGTGGCCTAGTGGTTAGAGCATCTGTCTCTGATGTGGGAGGTCGTGGTTCGAATCTCCAGCTGAGTCATATCAAAGACTTACAAAAATGGTACTAACAGCTGCATCTCTTATCACTCAGCATTAATAGTTATTATTAGGACTGGTCAGCCTGGTGTCATGTCAGGATAATCTGACAGGGTGGGGGACATCATGCTACATGTCTGCGGCATGATGCCCAATGCTAGACATCACTATAAACTGCCACACTGCAGACCTAGTAGCAATATGCCTGAAAAATTGTTAAAGCTACATTACAAATCCAAATCACACACATACACACACATTTTTCTTTTTGTCTTCTACATGCATCACTTGCTGGACACAATTTAAAATTAAATTCTATGATCAACAGTTTGATTATGGAGACACTTCACATGAAAAAACATGCAGTTTAAAGCATCTGAGGTACTGCTGTAAAGTTGGTCTTGTTCCTTTTCTATTATATTAATTCTAATATGAAATCTGGATCCACTGATGAATCAATTATCTGGATTTTGTTAGCAACAATTTTTCTGTAGTTTTTAATTTATAAGTCTGTATTTTAATGCTCATTTTAAGACTTAAGGAAAATCTTAAGGGTTGGCAGGTCTACCATTCCCACCATTACCATTATCTTCATCATCCTTATCAAAGTTGCTGAAATAGTTTAACACTTTCTATCAAATTTCCCCACTTTTTATGATGACAAAATTTTAGACCTACAAGCTTTTTATACCTGAAAATGCCAATTATACATGCCCACCATAAAACACGTCCCAATGCAAATCTGGTTATATGTGCATCATATATTGCAGATATATGTACACCATATGCAAATGGTTTTCGTGTAAATTCTTAACTATCTGTTTGCTAGTTAGGGTAACCCTCAGTAACAACATCAACAACAAAGTCACCACCATCATCATCTTCTTATTCATATTATTATTATTTGTTAGTTGTGAATAGTACCTCTGAGAAATAAGTTTGGGAAGAGAAGGCAGTTCATATTAAAAAAATCACTTTTTGTGCAGAATTTTCCTCAAATAATTTTGGTTTGTTCTTTACTTACCATTCCAAGAACCCTACCAGAACTTCCCTGCAATGGAAAAGTGTCACCACCTTTTTTCAAATTCTTAATCTGAAAAGAAATATAAACTTCTTACTGACATTCTAAATAACAGGACATGACAAGACAATGAAACACATCCTACTGGGGAAATGCAAAAATCTTGCACTGGACCAAAACAGGAAGTTTCACAAAATTGCACAACAATAAGATTTTTCCTTCTGATTCTACATGCAATTATGGGCAAGTGACAAATTTGTAAGTTGGTCAGGAACATTTCCAACTTGTTGTCATAGAAAGTATTTTTATTCAGATTTAGAGAAAAGATTCTTAATTCAAAATTATCACTGCAAATTATTAACTTTCTGAACACAAAAAATTCATGTACACCTCATAAAGAAGTCTATCATGTTTAAAAACGCACAATATTATTCCACATGAAGACATTTTCCCATACAGATTCTATAAAGCAAGTGATACCTTTTTACTTGTCCTGGAAAAGTTCAACAAGTCCAATGCTGTCTGACAAGTCATTTTTCTTATTAAGCCAAATATCAGACTTGTAATTATTACTGCAGAAGTTATTCCTTCTTGTTTAATGTTATTTATTGACACAATTATTACTGGTGATGAACACTCAAGATTGTGGGTTATTTGTATTCCATACATATGCAACATTCTGATAAGCCTGACATACAACTATCACCAATAATTCAAACAAACACATTCATTCCCGGTGAAGACAAATGCTACTTACTTGGTAACATGCAGATCCTGAATACATGCTTGGTTATTATTAAATATCAGTTTTAAGATGTGAAATTAAATGATAAATTTCAAGTTCAATTCTATTAAACTCAATGTTCAACACCAACATAAACCAGGTTTTTAAAAAACTGACTCAAGTGCAACATACTGTTAAGCAAAGGCAGAAATGCTTACCTGACTACAATAGATGATTTGGAGATAAAACAGATGATTTAGTGATAAAATAGATGATCTGGTGATAAAATAGATGATCTGGTGAAATAAGTAGCTTTATAGTTTTATCTTCCAATCGAACAAATCCTGATGCATAAATTTTTTTGTACTAAACTTGTACTACCAAGACTGCATAACACTTGTCTCTTTGCTGACATCAACATTTCAATTGGGGACATGGTTTCCATCCAATCAGACACTAGAAAAGTATGGTTGAAGAATGTTTATAGATTAACTTTTAAATCAAATGTAAATTTTCAAAGAATCCATGAACTTGAAAGTTTTGCATATGGTTATCTGTTAGGGTCCATATTTGGAGGGTCTTTTATACAAAGGGGTAATTTTACAATCAATATTATGTGATGTAATTATGATTTTTAACGTAGCTTTAACAATTTTTCAGTCATATTGCTATGATGTCTGCAGTGTGGCAGTTTATAGTGTTGTCTAGCACTGGGGCATCATGCCGCACTGGGGCATCATGCCGCAGACATGTAGCATAATGTCCCACCCAGTCACATTATCCTGACACCAGGCCGACCAGTCCTAACACTAACTTCTTAATGGTGAGCGTCATGCGAGGCAGCTGTTAGTACCATTTTTGTAAGTCTTTGGTATGACTCAACTGGGGATCGAACCTACGACCTCCCGCATCCAAGGTGGAAGCTCTAACCACTAGGCTACCGGAGCGGTTACAATCAATATTAAGGACAACACAAGTTTGTCTCATACAGTTTCATCAACTCCAAAGAAAAAGAGAGTTATAAACAATAGTGACACAGATCTCTAATTACCCATAAATAATCTAATGGAACAGTGTTACTCTTCGTTACAGCTTGTACCATGTATAACTAGTCTGTAGAGCCAAGTACCCAGTATCGTTTTATTAATATTACTATGCAATGTTTTGTGTTATTTTTTTTTTTTTTGCTCATGCATATACATGGTGTACTTTGAATGTAAGTCACACCACAGCTGTCGTTAACATATTTGTATTAATGAGCTGCATGTAAACATTTGGATATGAACTACATTACACTAGCGAAGAGTTCTTTTTACTTTAAAAGAAAATATTGAGTGAGAAAAATACTCTATGTTGGGGTTTGGCCAGAGACAAGGAAATCAATCTTGGGGTTACATTATATGTCTCCCCCACTTGGCAAGCCTTGGTAGGAGACAAATAATGTAACCCCTTGACTTGGATTTCCTTGTCTTGGGCCAAACTCCAACATAGATGCTATATTTATCCTAAATACATCAAACTGATATTAAATACGATTTTCCGTTTTATATTGGTGAATAATTATAAACTGTAATTTTAAATCTTTTAAATACGCTTGAAAAAATTACCTTTGCATGATGTCTGTCATCTTTCTCTAATCCATCTACCTGAAATAATTTTTTGGCGACACCAATACATGGTATGCCTGACATAACACCAAGATGACATGCCAAACCAAATTCTGAAAAGAAAAGAAAAGTAAACCAGACTGTATTTCTACTAAAAATGATCCACACTTCACTCAAGTTTTAAACTAGAAATTGTGACTGTTTCACTTAACAGCATTACTGCTTATAGAGAAATCAAACTCAAATCCATTGCTAGATAAGTTATCTCCCTTTGCCTATTGATGGCTGTGAAATCAAGTTTTGCAATTTTGATCAAGCATACTTAGTAGCTCCTTATTTGACTGCCTGAGACCAGTCAATGCCTGATTTCAACAATTACAGCAAATTTAGAAAGAAATGTCTGAATCTAGGATCTGAAGCTTGACTGACATGTAGAAAATATTCAATAAATATGAACTTTCACAACTCAAATTTGATTTGATTGTTTTTATATTTCAAAGTGATCTTGCTTTGATAAATATAATTGAGTACTTTTTACAGAATTGGTTAATCAGGAAAAATCTATAATCTTAAGATATTCATTGCTTGCACTCTGTGTGTCCACCACACTTTATTTACTACTTATGATTGTATTACATGGTCCAAAACTCTTTATTCATATACTACTTTTCCTTGTACTCTATGGTTCAGCACTCTTTATTTACTACTTATACTCGATGGTCCCTCACTCTTTGTTTACTATTTATGCTTGTAATCTATAGTCCATTACTCTTTATTTACTACTTATACTTGTACTTAACCATCTTTATTTATGGCTTATGCTTGTAATCAATTGTCCATCATTATTTACTACTTATTCTTATACTCTATGGTCCATCACTCTCTACTTACTAATTATGCTTGTACTCTTATGGGCCATCTCTATTTACTACTTATACTTGTACTCATTGGTCCACCACTCTTTTTTTTACTAATGTTTTATATCTATGGTCCATCAATTTTTATTTACTACTTATGCTTGTACTCTATGGTCCATCAATCTTATTTACTACTTATGTTTGTACTCTATGGTCCATCAATCTTTATTTACTACTTATGTTTGTACTCTATAGTCCATCACTCTTTATTCATTTACTACTTATGCTTGCAATCTATAGTCCATCAATCTTTATTGACTACTTATGTTTGTACTCTATGGTCCATCAATCTTTATTCATTTATAACTTATGCTTGTACTCTATGGTCCATCAATCTTTATTTACTATGTATGCTTGTACTCTATGGCCATCACTCTTTATTAATTTACTACTTATGTTTGTACTATATGGTCCATCAATCTTTAATCATTTACTACATATGCTAGTACTCTATGGTCCATCAATCTTTATTCATTTACTACTTACGCTTGTACTCTATGGTCCATCAATCTTTATTTACTATGTATGCTTGTACTCTATGGCCATCACTCTTTATTTACTACTTATGTTTATACATTATGGTCTATCAATCATTATTCATTTACTATTTATACTTGCAATCTATGTTCCATAATTTTTTTTTACTACTTATGTTTGTACTCTATGGTCCATCAATCTTATTGACTATTTATGTTTGTACTCTATGGTCCATCAATCTTATTTACTACTTATGTT